GGGAGGGGTGATTCATAAAACCAAGACAGGTAAACTAAAAACGAAACATCATGTACAAGATGAAGAACAAGAACAGGGACAAAAACACGAAAAGGAATCAAACAACAACAACAAAAGCAACTTCAACAACAATTACAATAAGGACAACCGTAACAACAGCAACAACAACAACAACAATAGCAACAGCAAAAACAACAACAAAGAATCTGAAAAAAATCTATAAGGAATACAAAAGTAAGTGAGAAAATCAATGAACAAAGTGTTGGAATATTTGATGATTGTTTGTTAACAAGACAAGAATATCAGACAGAGCGTTGAGTTTGTGTGGGATTCGTGAGTATAAAGAAAGGAGAACAAAGAGATTGGAACAAATATCCCAAAAGAATAGAAATAAGAGAAGTAGAACTATCTTCTCACCGGAACAATCTGATCTATTCTGTTGTCGCTTTCCTCTCCTCGGCCGGGAATGCCCTGATGGAGAAAGAAGTAAACATGTGATCATGCAGATAATCCTGACAGCTTCACAAAGGTGATACCTTTTACAGGACAGTGTTGTTGCTTGATTTTAACCATTTGCCTACTAGGCTCCTGGTCACTGAATGGTATATTGAGTTACTGAGTAATTTCATTGGTTTTTGAGAGATGTACTTTTAAAAAGTTCATTTTGGTGTTGATTTGATCTATTCATCTTCTTTTTTGTTGCGGTATCACTGTGCTGGTGCATATTGATGCTGCTGTTTCGTATTTGTTTTATTTCGGTAAACACATGTCACATTCAAGTGGGCGTGTCATACCGATATTTTGGTTCCCTATGGTATTTGCCGCGTTGCGTTCATACCGACATTCGGCTCCGAGGGGTTAAAAGAGTGTTTTGCCAATAAACACTTGACAGTAAACTGTCATGACGGCCGCCGGGGTGTCTCGAGGCCTATAGGTTAAGGTGTTTATCTCTCATTCAATAGGTTCCCGCTTCGACTTCGGATAGCGACGGAAAATGTTCTTCTCTAAAATTTTCTCCTTCCATATCCTTTCCTGCTCTCGAACAAAATTGCTCTCTTTAAGAAAGAAAGAAAATTAGAAAGAAATTGTCAAACTGGCGGAAAAACGCCGATATCTACGACTTCATTGTTTTGACGAGCGCCTGACTTCATCACGATGCTTCACATTTTAAAATTTTTATTTCACCATAGACCCGAAGGAGGCTCCATATTATGTTTCATTGTCTCTCTGCTAAATGACCGAGAAAGTGACCAAGAAGGGTGGACAAATTTGCCAGGATATTTCGGAACTTGAACCAAGGATTTCTGAGTTAATTGAGAGTATCTTGACCACTGCACCACATTGATCTTTCTTTAAGAAAACGCCATTCCCTAAAAGAAAACTAAAACAAGAAAAATAAAAGGAAATACGGACGTGTTACACCAATACCATACAATGTTTCGGACTTGTTTTCACTTTCTGGACATTGCTCAGTTTCAGTTCAGTTTATTAAAGATTTTGCGGCTCACACAAATGCATAATTCATAATTATGGGGCCACTGTAACAGAAACATTGCCTTCGTCTTATAGAATATATTGACAATGACAGCAACAATTTTGTTTCATTGTCTTCGCTTTTACGATACATTTCAACCAAGGAGTACTGTTAGCTCAGATGGTTTCAAGAAAGAATACCGTGCTAAAGACAGTTGTTTTATATCATCAAGCTTATGTTCCTTAAAAATAGCGTTTCCATTCATAGTGTTCATTACCATCATCTACAAAATGTAATTCCGTTAAATCCAGCTGGACATGCCCTTTTAAACAGAAATCCCACTTTCATAAACCTGTTCTTTTAAGCAAGACGATAATAAGCATAATACAAAACAAAACATTGTAATTCATAATCTGATATCTGTCTAAATATAATAAATAGCGTAACAGAACCTTGATGTATTTACCCATTACGTTTTAGAAGGTGTAATTATTAAAGATTGCAAAGTAGTGACTTTCTGCATATTATGATTGATGACATAACAGAACGTAGTCTTATTTACAAAAATAGCGTAATTATGAAGACACCACATAATATATGAATGCAGGTATGACTCACATACACAATGACTACGGGGGCTCTCGTGGCCTAGAGGTTAAATTGTTCGCCTCTCATTCAAAGGTCCCGGGAAAAATTTTCCTCTCCAAAATTGTCTCCTCACCTCCTTTCCTGTCGTCTGCTTTCGTCTCCACTTTCTACCCCGACTTCCTCACCTCCTTTGCCCCCTCCTCTAGGCTCCTGACTCTTTCTATAGCCTTTCTACTGCTACCTCTTGGATCCTCACTGCTGTCTTTCAGCCACACCCCTGATCTTCTGGTAGGAAAGATCTACACCTAGCCTTCTCGGACAAGGGCGAAAAATCTCTGAGGTTCCGTGTGCAATTTGCGCACCTTAAAGATCCCTTAGTGGTCTAAAATCGATAAGAGAAGGCTTCGGCCGCCACTCGGGCAAAATTCAAAATTTGCTACAAACTGAAAATGTTTAATGTGTCCCTCGCACTCATATGACATTATGCAGTTGCGAGCGCTGTAAAAAACTTACCAAAAAAAATTATAAAGAGAGACTACAACTTACCGGTGGTCCAGGGGGTCCTTGGGGTCCAGTACCTCCCCTTGACCCAGTTGGTCCTGAAAGGCCCTGGGAACAAACAGACAATCAAATCGGTTTACACTAATTGTAACGCAATGGTCACTTTTTGACATCAGCAGTGTTAATGTGAGAACGCCTCCTTGTACTTTTCATTTGACAAAATTTTATTGGCTGACAGTAAAAAAATCTCTCTAGAAACATTTTTACTTGATGCTAAACTAAAAAAAGATAAACGGTACAGAATTATCCCTGGATGAAATGCATGAAGGTAAAATTACAATGACTGGGAGTTACAATTCACGAGAAAGCTAACAGACAAAAGTAAACTATTGGTTCTACGGTGTCTAGTGCTAGGGATGTAACAGAAAGCAAACTGTCACTTAAATACTTTTACCCTCGGCTCTATTTTCACAACGCTGTTTGAGCACTCCACACCGGTCTCAGAGAGAAAAATGTTAACCCTTGTAACAACCCACCGCTGTTAATTTCACGTCAATTCCTTCCTCGAAACGTATCAGGTGAGTGGAAGTAACCAACAGCAGCGGTGCAGCTTTCTTATTTGAAATGGTCTGATTGGCTTACTCAGGTAGTATATAAATAAAACACTTACCGGGAATCCTCTCAAGCCTCTGGATCCAGATTCTCCCTTTTGTCCCTACGTAAAACAACAAGAAAAAAACAAAAACACAAATGTAAATCATCTTTCGTAATACCAAAAAAATTGAATTAATGTTAGCGGCAACAAAGGAAGTACGAAATGAATCTATTTATTAGACTTTCAATACTGCTATTTCTTTAAGGAAGAATAAAGAGAAAGAAATAGTTCATGGTGATGAAAAAGAGGTTTACATAGAGAGGCACACTAACAAAAAAGAAAACAACAGGGATTTAGGCAAAAAGGCAAGACAAAACCAAATGTCAAAGAGGTCCTTCAACGGAGAAAAATATCTGCACCAAACTCCCACCACTTAGCTATTAACTGGAAAATGCATCCTCCTTCCTCGACGTATAACGATACAAGAAGGAACAAAAAGAAAGTAAAATAAAAGTAAAACAAAAGAACAAACTTTTTACTCGAAGTGCAATCAGCCAAAATAGACGAACACCGACATAAAAGCAAGGGGTAGACCAAATGAATCTACAAAAGAAGCCATCTACCTGGCTTTTGACCAAACACTTTCTCTGTCTCAACGTATAACGACACAAGAGAAAGAAACTGAATAAAGTAAACGTAAAACCAGAGACCGAGCAACGTAAACGAGATAGTACAGCTTGGGCCAGACCATGAATCCCACCAATCCCGTGGCAACAGGAATTGGGACGGTAAACTCAAACAAACATGGCCGATTCTAAGAACACACACCGTAAGTGGTGTGCCGCAATAAAGTGCACCAGTTAAAAAAAAAAAAAAAAACAACAAACAGGCGACCTGAATTAGCTTTTTTTCCCATTTTCCTATTGATCCTGAAAGGTAAGTTCATTGTTGGACAAGTAGATAAAGCTTAAATAGCGTATTATCATTGAAAATGTGTTTCAAAACATACATCTTTGTATTCACCATGAATGAAACCGTGTGTTGTAACTGGTGTTTTAAGTAGATCTAGATATAGAAGGGTTTATTGTATATCTAGGTTTTAGATCTAGGCTTCCTCGCATGTGGAGATGTTTTCTTCGGTTTAGATAGATCTATCTAGATCTAAATAAGTGCTCATCTCCCAGTCAAGATCTAGAAAACTATGCGTGCTATGTTTTAGATCTAGATTTCTAGATCTAGATCCTTTGGCACTTTCTCATTGTAAATTTGTGTACAAATTATGTCAAATTTCATAACAAAGTGAAGGGCTTTGAACTAGTTCTCCAAAACAAGCAGAGGAAGACAGGAATATTTCAACATTAATTGTAAAACAAAGCAAACCGGATTTAGCACTACACTTGCATCAATAAATAGATATGGTGAGTTGTATTTACATCTCTCTTGCTCTTTCTTTCTCTCTCCATTTTCCTCTTTCTCGTTCTTTTTTCCTTGTTTTCTTCATTGTTGTTGTTGAAAAATCTATGGAGCTACTTGTATTTGATATGCCAAAATTGTCTAGAACGTTAATGTAGTTATTGCTGCTCATTATCATTATTGTTGCTGTTTCCCTCCCCCTTTCTCCATATTGACGATGTTGCTGTTGCTGCTGCTCTTGCTACTGATGTTGTTGTCGTCATCATTGTTATTATTGTTCTATATCCCCATCTCTCTCTCTCTCTTTATTTCTTTATTTACTCCTTTTTATTCTTCTTTTCCCACCTTTCTCTAACTCTCCTCGATAATACGTCCTTCCTAAACAGTCTGTCAAATTGAGGGGTTTACTACGAGGTTCCAAATAAGCCCCCCCCCCTTCCGCTTATTCTTTTTTGGAAATGTTGCCCCCCCCCCCGCTACTTATCTTTCGCCTGAGAAAGTTGGAGCAAAAAGATATGTAGCAAGTACAACCAGGCCCTCTCTTGGATCTCTATAAAAACTTGCCAATAAAAAATGTAAGTTATATCCCTGTTTGTAATTGCTTTACATTATAATATTCCTCGCAAAAAGCATGTGTAAAAAACAAGTACTAGATCAGAACTCTTTCGCAAACGCCCAAAATGTATGTGAACTGCATCTATTGTTAATTGGCAAATGTGTCCCCCCCCCGGCCCCCCGGCCCCCCGGCCCACCTGTCTTTTATTAATAACATCTGGCAAATGAGTCCCCCCCCTCCACCTTTTTTTAATTTGAAGCCTCAGAGTACGCTAACAATTTGGTTTCGTTCACACACATTAGAACAATAACAGGCCTAACGCTAGTTTTGTTTACCGTCCCAATCTATAAATAGAACAACTCTCTTCGCTTACGCTGCATTAAGCATTGTCGTCACAGACAGTGCCGTAAGTAAAGTTGTACTGTCTCGTTTACGTTGCTCGGTCTCTGGTAAAACAAAGCAGTAGTGGTGGGCAAAATCCGGATTTCCGGATAACAGGATGGTTCAACAATGAAACATTATCCGAATTCAGACTCTTACACTCCCTTTGCTGACCCGTTCGCCGAAGTGGGTGCACCCATTTGTTGAAGTGATGCTAACCCGTTTTTTCGAAGTGGTTCTAACCTTACCTATTTGCCGAAGCGGGTCATAACATATTTAATCGCTGAAGAGATGCAATAACATATTATCCGGATTCAGCTAAAGCGACTCATTCCCCAGTCCTACTAAACATGTCAAGCTCTTTATTCGAACTGCAAATTGCCAAAATAGACCGCCAGAGACACAGAAACGACAACCACTTACCGGCTTGCCGTCATCTCCAGAAGGCCCTCTGGGTCCTGGCAAACCAGTTCTGCCCTGGGAAAGAGAAAAATAAGGAAGGATATTATAACACTTGTAGATTTAAAACAAAGGTACTTCTGTCAAAATACATTATTATCACAGTCTTTACGTTACGGAGAGCTAAGTCTATTTCATATGACCATTCTTTGAACCGGTTATTGCTGGAGCAGTAGCCTGATGCATGTTTTTAGGTTACTTTCTCTTTTCCTAAAAGTGAGGGTAAAGGCCTCGTGCAATCATGTTTTTCTATTCTTGACGAGCTTCTTGACAGATTTGATGTTTGAATATACACTTACAGTTTCGTCAGTATATTATATTTAAGGAAAATAAGGAAAAGAAGAAGAATAAAAAAAACCCAATAGTGCAGGTTATATCCAGTAGACGAGCTGAGTCCTAGGCGTTAACTTTGAAGAGAACATTTGAAAGGACAATGACATGTTTACGTAAAGAATAAAAAGAATTATTAAACATAGGCCTACATACTGCAAGGAAGCTCAACATTTATTTTGGGACGACACACTCGATCAAGTTTGAGAACTAAGTTTTCAGATCTTATGTGAGCCGAAAGCGTGTTACCAGATACCTTTGATGATCCCACATTAAAACCTATGTGTCTCCAACACTCGTAACCCCTGCAAAGTCCTGGCAGAGCATTCGTTCGTACTCATCCATATCTGTTAGATTTTGCTTCCAGTTTGATCGCTTAAATAAATAGCAATTATTAAAACATCGTAATTTCATTCTGGAGATGGTAAGGGGAGAAGGTTCCCGCCTCTTTGCACTTTTGCACCTCAATGTTTTTTCATTAGCCATTTATGGAGAAAAAAACCCAACTGGGAACAAAGGTCAAGTGAGCGCGGAAGAAAAGAAGACCAAAGCACCCACCAATCACCTGATCTCCCCCAGTTAGATTACCCCCTGTCCACCTCCAGCCGTTTCCAGCACACCCTATGCATAATTTACACATTTTAAGTGGTCAGCGACAGCGGGAAATTTTGTGAACATAAAGGATGAATAAATAAAACCCCCCAAAAACCCCAACAAAACCAAACAAAACAAAAAACCTAACAAAACACACACACACACACCAAAATCAGAACCAGAAAAGATGATGACTGAAAAAAAAATTCTTTAAATGCACACACGAAAAAAACCTCTTAATGATGGACATTTGAGATCTGTATCAAAACTAACACCTAGTTGTAAAACGTTGTCAGACACTGTGTAATACTACGGAAAAGCGGGTTAGTACCACACAATAACAATATCATCTGTGGAATAGTGACTGATTGGAGGAGGTTGGGTTGTTGTTGTTGGGTTTTTTTTTGGGGGGGTAAAGGTGGGGTTCTGCTGCCTTGTACCACGTTCATTGTTTTTGTTTGGTCATTGTTTACACGACATGAAACTCGGAACAAAGGTCCAGAGGTCTCGGGGAGGAAAGGAGACCAACAAACGCCCCCCCTCTCATCTCCCCACCCCCTTTTTGATCCCAGCGCTGAAACCTTTTCCTTTTATCTGAAGAAAAGATAAATAAATAGTTTTGAAAAAAAGAGAAAATGTATGGGTTTATGACCCTTTCATTGCTGTACGATAGGGCATTGTGATCTGATGGAAGAGCCGTACAATTTCACTGAACAACGCAAGATTCAGAACGCCCCTTTGGTGATTTGATTCGGCGGCCATCCACTCAATCACACAAATACACACACACACACACACACACACACACACACACACACACACACACACACACACACACACACACACACACACACACACACACACACACACACACACACACATTTATATACAGGGTGATCCCCCCAAAAATGTACAACTTTTATTTCGTAAATATTTTCCTTCACACTGACGCTTTCGACTCCAAATTTGAAAACAATATTCCTCATTCAAAAGGAATTTGACTGATATTCATTTTAGATGCTTCCACTAAATAATTCTGCAGTATAATGCGCTTTAAAAAAAAAACAATTTTTTGCTTTTGTCCCCTTTTATTACACTACACACCAGTACGCATTACCACAAAGTGTCGTAACAATTGCGTCATATTGCAAGCTACAGCAGTCTACCAAGGCCAACGGAAGTTGGTAGACATTATTATTTTTCAAGTTCCTTTTGTTAATTATCCAAATCATGGTTCAGTTTAATAAGGAGCAGAGAGCATTTTGAATTGAACATTACCTCTCCACAAAATAACCATCCCTGACATTTCGTAAGTTCCGCATAAGGTACGGGAAGAAGGCTAAAGTGCCATCAAGGCTTTCTTTGATGTTACGGGTAAAAAGGTCCCGTCAGTTTTGGGTGTATCGAAAAAAAAATAAAAAAATCTAAATCTCCCGAAAAAGCCACCGCTTCAGGTCGAACGTGAGCCATTCGAACCCTTCTAAACATCGTCAGGGTGCTGAACTCAGTCGCTGAATCTAATGAGACATCTGTCCGCAGACGATGACTGCAGCTAGGACTTTTATACGCATCGGCAGCCCATATTCTTAAAGTAGATCTTAACTTACATCCATACCATATTCATGTTAGGCAAACGCTTCGAGGGACTGAGGATGGCAATGTGTCGTTGGTTCCTCGACCACCTTGGAGAACGCAAGAGTTTCTTAGATGACATCTGGTTCAGTAACAAAGCGCTTTTTCAACTTTCAGGATATGTTAATTCTAAAAATGCTGTCTATTGGGCCTCCAACCCACTTCCTACTGTCTCCAGAAGCCACCCCATGCTGAAAGGTGTACAGTGTGGGTGGCTTTAAGCACGAATGATTTAGTGGGTCCTTTTTTTTTGAAGACGCTGACGGACATTTTGCCACTGTGAACACAGACTGATATATCGAGGTGCTGAAGAAATTCTGGACGGATCTGGGGAGACACCGGCACTTGGATCGCCAAGACCAGTGGTTCATTGAAGATGTGGCCAATCCACACGTTTCTGTCAGATCAATGACATGGCTAGTTGACGACTTTGGAGATCATGTGATCAGTGGCAGAAGTGAACACATTTGGGCTCCGCATTCTCCTAACGTGAATCCTTTAAACTCGTTCTTGTGGGACTATCTGAAGGACAGGGTATTTCAAAACCAGTTTGAAAACATTGAAATTATGAAATAAGCAATCCGTGGTGAAGTGAAGAACATTCCGCGGGAACTGTGTTTGGCCGTCATTGAGCATTTCAAACGACGCGTTAAAAGATGTTTGGAGTCCAAAGGAGGACATGTGGAGCATTTGTTTTAGAAATTCCAGAGCAAAAATGTTAGTTCTTTAACTCCCTAAGAGAAGTTAAATAATGTTTAATGTCATAAGGTGGGAACAATTAAATGTAATAGAGAAAAAGAAGACAAAAATCAAATCAATCGTCTCATGACTTTCCTTGCCAGAGTGTCTTTTTTTTTAAATTGGCGCATTTTGCGTTTATGGGTGTGTTTTTTTTTCTTTATGCTTTTTCCGTTCTGATAATAAGTTTCCTCTGTATGAATTTTATATCAAACAAATTCTATTTGAATTTAAAAAAAAAAGAAGTTTATCTGTTCCAAATTTCATTTTTCTAAAACAACATTTGGGCTTGATATTTAGAAAAAAAAGTTGTTAAGTTTTTTTTTGGTAGGGTCTGTATATACTTACGTATACATATTGACAAACGAAGAGCGAGGGATGAGAATAGAAAGAGAGATAGATAGAAAAAGAGATACAGGCACAGATAGACAGACAGACAAACAGCCATTGAGGATGAGTTAGTGAATAGAAAGTACTTACAATGTTCCAGACAGGGGTACAGACTGAGATAGGCAGACAGACCTACAGACTGACAGAGAGACAGACGAACAGATAGACAAACGTACAGACAGACAGAATGTATATAAATAAGTAAAAAGAACTTACAATGTCACCAGGAGGACCACGCAGCCCCTGCAGTCCCGGATCTCCGGGTTCACCTTTGACCTGTGGAAAAAAACACAACATAAAACAGATCAGTATCGACAGACGTTTAGACCCCTCCCCCCCCTCCCCCGTAGGGCAGTGCTACTGACTCAAGTGTCTTCAGGCCACTCCCAAGGGGGGGGGGGGGTATTAACATATTCCCTCTACTTCTTAGGTATGTTTGTCCCTCTCTTGTGAACCGCTATTTCCGGGGTGCCTTGATAGTTGAAGCAGACTCCTTGCTGTTGAGGCTAGAGAGGTGAGCAGAGTAAACCTGATTCCCCGTTTGGACTTTTCTGCTGATATCCACCCCTTGGTGGTCATATGACCTTATTATGCAGTTGCAAGCGCCTTAAAAAACCTTACTAAAACTAAAAACTAAAGAGGTTTAGAGGGAATCAATATGAATTGATGATAGATAGATAGATAGATGGATAGATAGAGAGAGAGACAGGGAGAGAGAGAGGGAGGTAGAGAGAGAGAGAGAGAGAGAGAGAGAGAGAGAGAGAGAGAGAGAGAGAGAGAGAGAGAGAGAGAGAGAGAGAGAGAAAGAGAGAGAGAGAGGATGAGGAGGTCGTCATCATCATCATCATCATCATCATCATCATCATCATCATCATCATCATCATCATCATCATCATCATCCTCATCATCATCACTGTCATCATCATCATCATCATTTTTTAGTATTATTATCATTATTATCATTATTATTATTATTGTTATTACTATTATTCTATCTTATTATTATTATCATTATTATTATTATTATTATTATTTTTATTGTTATTATTATTGTTTTTATTGTTAATATTATTAGTGATATTATCATTATTGATAACCTTATTATCGTTGCTTAAATGATATAGAATATGATGCGTTTTATTTGGGATTTTGTTTATTTTTGACATTTTAAACTTGTTATTGAATAGTTATACAATTTATACCGTTTTATGAAATACCATTTGAGGCTTTCCTCGTATAAACTGGCCCAAAAGAAACAAAACACAACAATCATAAATTATCATATAAATAATCTGTCAACTGCTACATTAATGATCTCACCCTCACACAAGCAAAACTTTTCTACAGTCAGTAAGAATGAAAACTAACTCAATGTAAACGTAGCTCAAAAACGTTAAGGAGAAAGGAATGAGTTAACTATCCGAAAGTATCCTGCTGAATGGCTCGCATTGACATTATGCTAAACTTGTGAAGGTCAAATCACACACCAACACACATACACACGCACACGCACACACACACACACACACACACACACACACACACACACACACACACACACATACACCAACAGTAATTTATACTACAGGGCACTTCAAAGTTAAAAAAATTCTTTAAAATGCTTAAAGTGCGGTTTCGGAGTCGTTCTGTATGGCTGAGATAGCACATGACTGAGGTCATACAAAAGACGTAGAACTATCCCTATTCTCTGTGTCATGACACTGTTGACATGTGATGCTGTTGTGTACCTAGTTTCTTGTAGGCCCATTGATGCTAGGCTTATCTGTAATGTTAGGGATCGATGATTGTAAAAATGTTGAAATCGGAGATGCGACGTTTTAAAGTTTAATGAGTTTTGCTTTGTTCTGTTTTGCTGCCCTATCTCCCAAGAACAATGACTCAACTCAACCCATTAAACTGTGTGTCATTTAGGGGAATACCTCAGTCGAGGTGTCTGTCTATCCTTCCATTGAACTGTTATCGCACTCTGGATCCAGTTTCACACCAGCTCACAAAAAACCGCTTGAAATAGCGTATTCGGAACATTTCATGGATGTCACTTTTAACCGCTTTGTTTAAGTTTCTTAGACGAAACATTGTGTGTCTTTCGTCGTCACAGTTTGACGTAAATTTGAAAGTGGTTACAGAAAAACGCAAAACAAGACTTTGTGTATTTTTAAAACGTTAGTTCTTTGGAAACAATGGTAACCACAGTTGCACTGACCTCGCTCTACCCTGACTTAAATGTTTCTGTTGCTCTGAATTCGAGAAAGGAAATACATTTCCTCCCAAACGTATGGCAGGTTCAACTCACATTCCTTTTCTTCTCCATTTGCGGACTCATTGTGAATTTCTTGATGTGTGTCACCATCGTTCGTTCCAGAAGACTTCGGACACCAACAAACGCATTTGTTGTCTCCTTGTCTGTTACCTCTTTGGTGTCTACTCTTGCTCAGATCATCGTATCTTCGTTAATCGTCATAGTACATTTTCGTGCCGACTTACAAGTACGCTACTTCCAGATAGCCAGAAAAGTCGAATTCTGTTTGATTTTTCCATGTTTCTTCGTTGCCTGTGCTAATATTGTGATGATATCGGTGGACCGTTGGATATATATTGTCTACCCATATACTTATTTGAACTACGGTACTGAGAGGTCTGCAATCATCGCCATATTTGTAATTTGGGTTTCTACTTTTGTAACCATTGTACCTATGGCGTTTTTTTATCTCACTGTGACAGCTTACTATGTTACCGCTGCTCTAATAGCTTTCAATTTAGTTATCGTCATTGTCTACTCCCACATTATCTATGTTACCTATAAGCATATCTCGTCCTTAACCAAACTGCATAACACCAGAGAACGTATTCGTCACGGTCAGGCAGCTGCTGATGCTCGCCAGTTCTGTCTTAGTCGCTGGAAGAGTGTGAGGCTATTTTTGTGCGTCTGGCTCTCATACACTGTGTGCATGATTGTTCCAGCCTTCTCCACACTGATCGAATATACAAATAAAACAACTGTAACACTAACAGTCCTCGACGTCAGTCTAGTAATGAGCGCCGCCTTTCCTCTTTGTAATTTCGGGGTGTATTTTGCGATGAATAAAGACTTTCGGACTTCTCTGCGAAGATTCTGTCCCCGCTCCGTATGTCGGAAATCTACTAGAGTTGAAGACATCAGTGTTTTCAATATTGCACATATTCATAGCTTATAAATGTAATGGAATTACATTGTGAGGCATCATGGTGAAATCAGGCGCTCGTCTAAATAATAAAACTGAACATACCAGCAATGTTCCGCCAGTTTGTCAATTTTTTAAACCAAATTTTTATATTTTGGCTCAACACCTTTATGTCCTTTTTAAAAACACATTCGTTGTGGATTTTTACTGAACAATGTTGATTAAAGGCGCAAAAAGGGGGTACATTTTTAGTTTCCAAGGACTCTAAAACTATGGTAGTCACCAAACTTTGGCAGCCATTTTTTCTCTAGCCCTGAAACCAAGCGACACCCATCACTTCCAATCCCAAATACTTGTAGTTTTCTTCAAGACAGATAGGTATTATTTCATCGAAAAATAGGCAAATCACACAGCTGTAAGATGATACCAATAACTTCACACGCCCCAAAATTGACGTGCGCCTGAATCCACCGTGTCGTGACATTTTACTGATTGTCCTACTCTGTAACGTGGCTCTTGAACAAAATTTATGGAAATTAAACGTACATAGCAAATGACTGATACTTGAATCAAGAAAAGAAATTTCCACACGGTATTGCCTTGATTGTCTAAAAAATATTAGAAAGTATCCACACACCGTAAAGAAAAGTGAGAGGACATGTTTTTGTGAGCGTATTACAATTCATATACACAGACACAATACGTGGATGCTATTTCTCTACTAAACCCCCCCCCCCACATAAAAAAAACAACAACCCACCCCCAAAAATAACAAACAAACATGTATTTATGCTCAAAAGATTGCATGAAATCAAGCTGAAAGAACATTTTTAATGTCTATTTCGTTTTTGTAACTTGTGCTTTCTATTTGTTCTTCTTGTTGTAATAAATGTTCATGATTGTTTTAATGAATCTTGGATGGATTCAATATACTCTTCTAAAAAGAAACTTAACACATGATACATTTTGAACATTAGGAAACGCAAAATAAAAGTTCAGATATTAGGGACAGAGTTTTGTAAAGGATCAAGTGTTGTCGCCAAAACACCAATAATCACGTGCAGTGCACACCAAAATGTTCGTATAGGCGAGTTTTTACTGAATCCATAATGGCGGCCCTGACCACTTTCTCGTGCACAGTAATAGACTGCAATTCACCATTCTGTAGCCTCCCTCACTGGCGTACAAAAAGCCACAACAACCACGGTTCACATAGTCCATGTAACATAACATTAAAAACCCCTGGAAAAATGCTAAGGTTGACTGATGCTGAACGCAATAAAGCAATCGGACGATTGGAAGTAGTGGTGACTCAGCAAGCCGTGGCAAGGCACTTTGGTGTGTCTACACAGACCATTGCTGCGTTATGGACACGATACAACGACACTCAAAGTGATAATGACAGGCCTAGGTCAGATCGACCCAGGGTCACTACTGCTGCCCAGGATCGTTTTATCCGTGTGCGCCACTTTCGAGATCAAGCCACAACAGCAACGTCTACAGCTGCTCAAATCCCTGGACATGAAAGAATTTCTGAATAGACAGTTTGCAATCGTCACAGGGAGGCAGGACTCTTTGCTCGGAGACAGGGATGAGATCGAACAACCTCATGTTGTTCCATACCTGAACGCTAATGGTGGCATTTTGCAGCAGGACAACGCTCGTCCGCATGTTGCTCGAGTATGTGGAGATTTCTTGCGTGCCAAAAACATTCCGACTCTACCACGACCTGCCTGGTCATCTGATTTGTCTCCAATCGAACACTTATGGGACGAGTTGGATCGACGGGTGCGGCAGAGGAATCCGTCACCTCAGAAACTTCCAGAACTCTTTGTGGCACTCCAGCATGAGAGATAGACCATCCAGCCACATGTTATGCAAACTTGATTGCATCCATGAGTTCTCGATGCCGAGCAGTGATCAAAGCAAATGGTACACATACCAGGTACTGACTTTTCGAGTACCTTATCTGTTAACAAGTTGTTCAGGAATTCCGTTAGTTCATCAGGGTTAACGTTTTAAACGTTTGAAAAGTTATCATCTGCCAGAACTTTGCCTTATTTTGTGCTATTTATTAGGTTCGCTATATTAAAA